GGAAGTGATTTATCAATGGTACATTGGCTTTCACATCAGCAAATTTGTTGGGTATTTTCCTCAAAGTTCCAAAGTCTGTGAAAAATCATTTAACTTCATTCTGCTTATGAAACCAGTTAAGAGGTGTTGGGGGGAAAGAGCATGTTTGCATCTGAAGTAAAAAGCAATTTCAAGAGAGATTTTTTTCCTTTTCTGTTTTGACCAGTGATGGTTATAATGTTCTTCAGGATCACTAGGTACAGACCCAGTTGTTAATTAACTCTCTGGGCACTGGTTAATGAATTATTTATTTTCATACCTTCCTTATCATTACTTTTTCCGTACTTTGTTTATTCCATTACCAATAGCTCCCTTCTGTCCCACTTCCATCTGCACAGACTAGGAAAAGCAGGCAATGAGTAAATTTATAGATGGAAGTCCCATATTACCTTAGAATCAGGGCTGACCCATTTGGAGAGATACTAATGAACACTAAAGATTCTGGGAATTTGGGAATTTGGTCCAAGTGATTGGATAATACAGGAAAGATGTAAATGTAATTGTGTTTGAAGGTCTGTAGCTATTGCTTTGCTTTTAGATTAATTTCCCACCTCAACAGCATTTCTGAACAGTAATGATCTTGAAGTACATGGCATCTTTTTTCTGTGTTAATAATGAATTAGAACTTACTTTTGTTAAAACCCCATTAACTTATAAGTTATTAAGCCATACACAGCCAAATATTTTTGTCAATACTCATTTTCACACTTTATTATGGTCCATGCTAGACGCACAGAACAGGAAAATCCAAAGAAGTCAATGCTGACATTAAAGGGTACCATCTAAAGCCACTCAGATAGTTAAAGAAACCCTTACATAACACAGCTCTAAACCACCTTGCACAGACTACGCAAAAAAGGTTCAAGTCAAAGGCAGCCTGCAATGCAGTAATTGTAAAATCCACAGAAGTCAGTGGAAAAACATTAATAGGCCTCTGTAAGAATACCAAGGCTTCACATTTACACTATTATCACCATCTTCAAGTGGAAATTAGGCCAAGAACAATACACGTTCTTAGAAATCATCCTAATGTTAATGTCTTGCACATCCTTCCAGCACAGAGAATTTTTTATTAACATGTACTTAATACTAATTGCTAATAGACTGTATTCCCTTACAAAGTAATCTTGGAGACAGAACCTGCCTTCTTTCAAAACAAGCAGGCAGAGCAACACTTGTTTTCTTTGAATAGATTGCCATGCCGTGCCCCTTGTAGCTTGTCTCAATACACCTGGTGTGTTCATTCATCTAAAATTTTCCAACGTGTTTAAAAACTCTACCACAGTATTTGGATCGTAGCCTCAAAGACTCACATTTGCACTCACTGCATATGCAATGCATAACAGAAATCAGTCAAAACTCATGACAGCTTACCACAATTTCAGGGACTGAATTCTGACAAGTGACTGGATTTACCCCAGAAGCTGCCCAATCTGCAGGAATTAAAAATTCATAATTTACCTCAAATGTGTGGATATTTTGCGCTCTTTGTGTTCTACCTATGAATAGAGAAGAATCTATTTTCTCAATGTAGTGATACATTTTTAAAGCACAAAGGGGAACTCCAGAGGCATGTAAAGTATGGTAATTTCAGTTAAACTCATGAAATTACGAGAAATTATGCCAAAGGGTTTGCCTATGCTGGCTCAAAGCTTGCTGCTGAAGATGATTATTTATTTGCTAACCTAAGAATGCATTTTCCACTGTCCAGCAGCTAGTTAAGAAGATTAATTACTGCTTCATAGTTTCAATTAAACTCCTTCATCACCAAGAGGGACCAAACAAGTTCTGATTTCAAAAGTACTGCTTAAGAAAGAAGACCAGGGCTGCATAACACTGACATTTTATTAGAATTCATCTGTAACAAATGGAACTTGTGTCAGCAAAGAACTGATTTTCATACAGACTTCCTTTTGCCACCAATGTAACGAAGTAAGAAAATAAAAAGCACGCCTTTCATTCTGTAAAACATTTACGCGTACTACTAATTAGAGGTAATTGTATCTTTTTTAACAAGCCATTTTACAAGGTAATTTTTTAAAGTTTTTCAGTCTATGCATCCAAAACAAGAGCAAAGAACACAAGTTTTTATTATCTTTGTAAAGACACCCCAAGCTTGAATGGCAAAGCCACATAACAGATGGTTATAATGAGACCTGCAGCCTTCTGATATCTGTGGAGTATCAGGGCACCAAGTGAAAAAAAAAAAGAAGAAAAAGAAACATAAAGAAAAATGGGAGAGAATAAAAGGAAACAAAAAAAAGCAGTTGCTTTTTTTTTCCTTTTTATATGTTCTGTGTCTTTTAAATACACATAAGTGGATTTTGTAAGCAATTTCTTACAGATGTGTTCAAGTTATTATTGGGTGTAGAATCAATAGGGCAGTGCATAGTACAAAGGTATATATAGAAAGTGCAAATCTCCTTAGAAGGTCACACCTTCCTCCAGCCGTCTTCTCTGCTATCTAACCACACAAATAAATTTTTAAAAAAGAGCTAAATTAAACTTTTGTATAAATCATTATTATATATTTTGTGGGTTTTTTCCCATTGCAACTAATTACAAAATTAGACATAACTACACATACAAACGTAAATAATAGCACCGTACTGGTTATGCTGATGAAACAAATTTTAAGCTTGGAAATGTATGATGTATGTAGACAAAGATGCTCACAATTTAAATTAACAGTAGAATGCATATATTAGAATACAGAAAGTGGAATGCACATCAGTGATGCTATGAGCTGTCATAAGAAACAAAAAACCTGAAAGGAGTATTTAGTTGTACAACAGTTTTTCTCACAAACTGGCTCTGCTTTTTTGAGTATTTCTTTTACTCCCTTATTTTTCTTGGAGTTTGCAAGACAGTCTGCTAGGGAAAATGCACTGGTCTTTGTACAGATCCAGTGTGCAGGAACCTTCCTTAGTCTGTGTTTTCATAATGACACTTTGTTTTGTATTTCTGAATTACTATATTTGAGTTGAAGAACATGACCACACTACATAACCTGGCATTTCAATAATTATTTCAACGTATAAACCAAGAAAGAAGACGAGAAAGAAACATAGTGCACATTCTTCTCTGGTTTAGATGTAAGTTATAGAATCTCATTCTGAGGTAGCCTTCTATAATACTTCTATTCCATATATATATTTATTTATATTTCTGTTTTGATTTTTTGGTTTGGGTTTGGTTTTTTTTTTCATTACAAAAGTGCTCAAATACAATTGCTGGAATTTGGTCTTTCTTATTTTTATTTCTCATAGGAGTGGGAAAATTGGAAGAAGAACTAAAAGTGTTGAGGCCACATGGAGAAGCCAGCAATGCTCCTATTTGAAACCCCAAAGAAAGCATCATTTGATGCAGATGTACTAACAATGGCAGAACACGTGGTGACCAAGGTCAATGTAAACAGCATTTTAGAAAGAGTCTGAAAAAGTACTTTGTGCTGTTTGACAATTTTCCTTTTTCCTGGAATAAAATCTGTCAATCTCCAATATGTCATGTGGGCTCAGTCTTGCTAGCCTTACGTGAACCTTCCCACTGAAAGCAAGGGTTTGACTTTAGCAATCTGTTGACACAAGTGAATGAGCAGGACTTGGCCCAAAATAAATTTGAAAAAAAAAAAAAAAGGAAAAGAAAAGAAAAAAGAAGACGCATAAGCACTGCTGATATTAGCTGCTGCTACTGTGCTGCTACAGCTTGGCAATGACAGATAACACTACAACTGGTGACAAAGTGGGTTTGAAAAGCTAACCGGAAATAGATTTCCAATTTGTGAGCTATTTCATTATTAGAAATATGGAAAGATAAAGGGCCTTGACTACCTATGTGTTTTGGGTTACCATTTATTACCATCCATACTTGATTAGAAACTGGAAATGCATATTTTTCAAACTTGTCTGGTACATATATTAAAATGTTTGAAAAGAACAACAGAGATATAAACAAACTAAACTAAATACAAATGAAGGCTAACTTAAAGAAATACTATTCAAAATAGGCATCAAATATAAGGCACTCTAAATGTAAAATTAAAATAAACCCCAGCATCCCCAAACAATGCTGTATGCCACAAAACGTTTGATTTCACAGAGCAATGTGTGTTTGGCTTTGCCCTGTTACATATGATAAATGTAAATTATATAGCACACACTATAGACAGTATACTATTGAATACAATTTTAAAACATCTTAATACCTAGTATATTACAACATTCTCCCCTCCTAAAGGGATATGCACTGACCTTTCCCACATGCACACCTCCTACATTTAATAATATGATTTCTTATTGCACTATAGTGTTACAAATATTGAACTTCACTTGAAGCCTAAATCACATACTCTGTGTGCGTGTGTGCATGTGTGTGCTCTGTATGTGTGCATGTGTGTGTGTTCAGGTGGAAATGTGGATAGAAATATTATTTGGGATAGAGATGGCATTCAAATATCAATGATGTGCATTCCTCACTTCCCTTTGAAACAGAAGTTTATGGACCTAAAAATGCAGAGATCATCAAATTGTAGTCTGATATAATTGCAGTATGTGGAAAAACTTTCCCAATGCTTTCATAAATCCAGGTATGTAGGACTGTTATGTTTATGGGCATGTGTGTGAATCTGTATCTGAATCCATCTGTATTCTCTGCAGCTATTACAGAGAGTCAAAAAATGGTAGACAGTAATATATATATATATATATAAAAGAGAGAGGGTGTGAGTGTGCATGTGCATATGTGTGCGTGTGTGTGTATGTGCTAGCAGCATCTTTATACTTTGCGCCTCCCTGTTGATTCCAAAATAAACCGAAAGCCCCGTTTTGATTTAACTGATTACAATGAATATTTTCTTAAAGAAAAAAAACCCAAATAAAACTACAAAATTCATATCTAACAAGACTGTGGTACTGTAGGACTGCACAAAAATGTGCAAATTTTCAAAGTATCTAACATTTCTACAGCACAATATTACAGATAACAGTTCTACAGCTTAAAAAAAAATCTACATTTTTAAACAAAAATATTAACAGTTATGCAACCTTTTCTTTAATTCACTTCATCGAATGAGAAACTCTTGTTAAAAAAAGGAAAAAGTTTACACAGTTAAAAATGAAGCACAGGTCAGCAGTATCTTTACAATACTAAAAAACTAAATCAAGGACTTTCTTTTTAAACATTCCCACATTTTCCCTTAAGTGTTATTATGAGCAGTATGATGGGAAACGGTGATGTTGAAGTAAAGAGTCCGCTTTGTTTGAGAAGCCAGAACCCAACCCTGCAATAAACATCTTGCACTGAACTGCAGTTCTCAAAACTCCTCTTTGCAAAATCATGTAATCCTGAATAAGATGATCACTCTTTCTGATTAAATGTCCTCTTCCCTTTAACTTCAACCAATGTCGAACCCTTGAGGTATCTGTAAATGAGATCCTTCAGACGCCTCAGTGGTCAGGATTCTTTTATTATGGTTAGGTTATTAAACTGTGAATTCTTGGTCCACATGGAATACTTCTTGTTGGGTGGGGTTTTTTTTTGTTGTTTTTTGTTTTATATATCCCCAATATTTTGTTCATTTGTTTCTTTTTTTTTATTATTTTTTATTTTATATATCCCCAATAATTGCTCCTTAGCTAAGAGTTAAGAAGTACTTCTAAAGCACATTGTATGGCTCAGAAGCGGCTCTCTGGATCTTAAAGGGCCTGCAATAAAAATCCACAATGGGTTTTTATGTTGCATAGTGATCAAAGCTGCCCAGATACTCCAGTGCGGCTCGATAGCAGAACTGGTATTGATCCTAGAGAAAGAAAAATAGAAAACAAATGCATAAAAAAGTCAGCCTGTTGGTAGGTTTCTAGTTTCTTTCAAATAATAGTGAATATTTTGTTGCTACAAGCACATATACTGCAGAGGCATCTGCAGTTCAGCAATATTCACTTGCTGACACCAACAGAAAACCTCTCTGAGTTACAACAGATGAAGATAGACACTCATTTAATGCAAAAAAAAAATTTCCACAGAATGCAGCTTCTTTTTGTGCAGAGACTATATACCTACCTACTGACAGTCTGTTATTCTGGATTAAAACAATACCAGCATAAAGCTTTCTCCTGATAGGAACACGCTAGTATGCTTTCCTGCCATGTATTTGAAAATAAGTAGCAAATAAACAGTGAATTCTGTTTATTCAGCTAATACAACACACTGAGTAAAAAAGGTCCATCACAGCTTAACTATGGAATTCTATATGGAAAACCATCAGGTTAAAAATCATGTAAAGAAAGCAAAGGGAATCCCAACCTTTCAGTAATAAAGGCTTTGATGAAGATGTGAAGATACCTTGGCCTGTGGCAAGAAAAAGACCTAAGGAGAAATATGGAGCTAAAGGACCTTATTCACATGAAACAGACTTCATTTCAACCTATACCTGGAAACAGAGAGAAGTTCAGTGTGGTGAGAAATTTTCTTATACCTCAGATGAATCCAAAATTTGTAAGTTTGTGTTATTTTCACCTCCATAAAGCAGTCCTTTTGCACATTTGTGTTACGTTGCACACTTACACTAAAATGGCACACCTACATATTTATTTCCAACTGCCATTCTTGGTTTAAATGGTGAAAAGTAAAAAAATTAAAAAACCCCAAACATAAAAGAAATTGCTCAAAAATACCAGGGATGTCTGTTTATTTTTCTGATAGTGCTATGTGGTAACTGCACAGGTTGCAGTTGTTAAGATCACAATTGAAAATTATTTCGTAAGCCAGGAAACTAATCAGATATTTGCTTCACTGCGGTGCTATGATTACTCACAGTTCATTTCATACATTACACATATGCCTGAATTTTAAGTGTACGTGTGGTCCACATGGAAGTGCTTTGTTTAATAAGGATTAGATTTCCTGGCAGTTTATAACACTGAATGAGAGATTTGCTTGCCACAGAATCCTGGAAGAAATGTGTACAGAGCACCTCTGCTTTCAGCAGTGGGGATGAAGGGTAGCATATAGAAATAAGTCAAAGCAGGGGGAGGGAGCATGTATTGCAGAACTGAACTCTGCATTTGTCAGGTAGGCTCAAAGAAGCATAGTTTTCTGTATACTTTAGTTATTTCTTGCAGGCAAAATGACAGAAAGCAGTCATTTTTCATTTTGCTTATCCAGAAGAATGATGGTAATGGAAAAGAAATGGAATTAACTCTTCAGTATGGGCACAGTGATTTACTTGGCTAACTGACAAGATTAAAAATAAATATCTGTATTTTTCATATAAGCTTTTATGAAGCTGTCTGCTTAGAAGTAGAACTACCCAGCTTCTATGGAACAAGTTTAATTTTCTTGTGGAAAATGACAAACTCTGGGGAACCACCTTAAATTTCACAGACTTAATTTAAAGGCCAGTGTCAATCAACTTTTACTTAATAAATATGTGATCTAAAATGTTTCCCTTCTCTTGCCCTTTTTGTTGGTTCTCCTAACCTACTGGCTCTGGTTTAGTCCAGTTCTTCTGCTCAGAAATTAAGGCAAAAATTAAGCACATTAACTGATAATGTTTAAGCATTCTTTGTGATGCGACAGATTTCCAAGCATACAGGCCCCGGTAACTGGTCTATACTGCTTATCATTTTCTTTATTTCTCTATACCACACCTAATAGCATAGAAATTATTTACACTATAGTTATTCCTGAATGGTGAATTTACCATTATGATTTTCAGGCCAAAGAGCCACTTGCTTGGTGACACAAAAAATCATGAAAATAATACAGTGTCAGTCTGAAGACATAATCAAGACCTTGCTCCCAGGGTGGAAAAAAAATAAATCTGTGGATCCACCTGCAGAAACAATTTGCCTGCTTCTTTACTATCACACATTTCTGCCAGGGAACAAGGATGAAATAAAAATGTGTGATGCTTCACAAATGGATTTTTTTAACTACCATAATTTAGGATCCACTATTGAAATTATCTTTTTTTCTTCCTCATCTTGCAGTAACTATTGCAATAACAGGAAATAGTCCTTGCAATACCTTCATGGCAGACTTTACCCTCTAGTCACAGGGCCAATATATGGCTTCAGATATAACCATAAGCATGTTTTATACAGTCTCTATCTGTGCATATTTTTGCTTGTGTAAATACCACTTCTTTTCCATCACCATTGCATAAGGACACTGTTTTGCTCACCTCTGTCTGTACCATGGCTGGCCGCTGTGTCCTTAGCATTTTAACAGTCTGGAAGATGTCTACAACACCTTCATATCTCATTCTTTCTAACACAATGCTCAGGGTTATGAATACTCCAGTCCTTCCAACACCCGCACTGTTGAAGAAAATGAAGACAAAAAAAAAAGGAAAAAACAAATGTTAATTGACAGTCAATGCTGAAAGAATTGGCTGACAAATTCTTTGTGGTTACAACACACCACATGTGTATAAATTTCTATATGGGGAAAGGCTCACTAAGCAGAATTCCACAGCAAATTACCACATTGCATTCAAAAGAATAACTGCACTCAAGCTAACCTTACATCTACTGAATACATCCAGACTCTCCCATCTTCCTTGCAAAGACTTGGTTTGTTCATCCAGATATACAATAATCACTGCATGGTGAAGGCAAATGTTAACATTTGTTGCCAATAACATACATTGGAACTGACATGAGAAAATGAAGCCAAAATGCATTTTACTGCTTGCTTTACTTTAGTTCATCAAGTATATGCCCTGTTTTGTACAACTTCACTGTGTTATTTTCCCTTCTACTTTAAGTCAGAAGTATGGATGTTCATTTAATATTGAACTTGTTCATACATGGTCCAACTCAAATAATGGACAGAGAAAAATCTCAATTCAGGTCATATTCAGGTCTGGAAGTCTGGATCTTTGCTTTCCAATGCTGATATGCATTTACCATGTTTGTCTACATTAGTATTAAAAATATTCTTTGAATATATATGTGGCTTGTTTGCTCTCTGTTCTGTTCTAGGTGTCTGCTATTAGCTTTAACCCTCAAGAAGTGATGGAAATTCTTGCCATCAGTAGAGCCAGTAGATGTCAGCTTTTAAAATTAAACAATCACTTATTCGTGATGATTACCCTTTGCAAAAGAGACAGGTAACTACACAGAAAAAAAAGACTTTCTATGTCTGAATTTCCGTGGATGGAAACCAAGCACCTTGTCATCTATCTCACAGTTGATGCTAATAATTTCACAAGGTTTTCTCCAGCCAGATAGCCTTGGAAAGCTAATATTTATGAGACCTATTCACCAGACAGATGAATGGAACAGCATCAACAACAGGGAAATCCTGAAGAACTCTTGAATGTTCATCTGAATTATGACAGAAATCCAGCAAATTCACAAAACTAGTGCGGAAATTGAATGTTCAAATTGTATGATTGTATTTTAGTGTTTGGTCTAGGTCAGAGCTCTTCTAGGGCTATTAGACATATGCAACTGGATTTATCAATTTTGCACAGGCTGTGTGCCTTCAGATTGCTGAAGCCAACGAACAACTGACACACCACTTGACAGAACATCATGTTGTCGGTGGTGATTTACCTATATGGTATAACGACAGCCCTGGACATCCAACGCAATTGTAGTGTAAGATACATGATGAGGTAAATTAGACAGCTAGTACTTAAGAAACATCCTGAAAAATCCTTGAACCTGCTCGTTGGAATCAGCTTGAACATTACAGACCTGATGACAGTGTGATCTGAATTAAGTAGCCCAGAAAATGTCCAGGAGAATGAACGTAGACTACCATTTTACATTCCCCTGCTCTGCCATTTAAATATTAAGGAAAAAAAATCTAAATGTGTGAGAGGATTCTGGCCTCATATTTTATACAAATCTTTGTTACTTTAAAAAAATTACTTGGAAATCTCAAGCAGAAAGAAGAAATTCATTTGTTGTCTTGGGTACTTAAAAAATCAGCAAGTGTCTCCAGGAGAGACTTAATGAGGAGGAGAAACTAATATGGAAACATCTCAATGCTTGCAAATCCTAATTGGTCATCAGGTGTAATGTCTGGAGAAAAGCCTGTAGGAAATTGATCCTGTTCCCTTTAGAGTGGCACACATACTTGAACGTCGAAACAATTCCTATCCAAAAATGTTTAGGATTTCTAGAGTAAAGAAATCCTTCATGATGCATTATGACTCCCTGTGATTTATAACTTAGACTAGAAACTAAAGGTGAGATGCTTTAATGAACTATGTGGATGTATTGATTTTTTGTAAGAGAGAAGAGTTTATTATTACAAATATATCTTGACTGCATTCTGGAAAAGTCTTCCTCAGTCTTGAGCTAAAAAGTGGAATAAAAAGACTACAAATATCTAATGTCAGTTTAAATTTTTCTTCAAGATGAATAGTCCATTGCTCTCTTAAATAGCTTTAAGTATCTGCCTCATGAGGTTAGAAATTTTTTAATTCAACACACTGACCTATTTGTAGAAATGCTACAGAAAAAGAAAATTTAGAGTTGTGGGTTATGGGGGTTTGCTGTGTAACAGAGAAAGCAAGCTTGTGAAAACTGTATAGAGTGTAAGAGAAACCCAAATGGAATGACACTAGGAGAGTTTTAATTCACTGTATAACTCATCATAGTACAAACTGGAGGCATTATTTCAGTAATTCCTCAGAGACTAGGAAAGTACAGGCATCCAGGATCTTGTGTTTCCTGAAAGAAATAAACAAACTTACTAATTTGCTAGGGACACTTCATATTCATGTAACTTGACTAACACTGGCAGTGATGATTAACATTGCCAGTCCCTAAACAGTCATTACAATAATGATAAAGACATTTAAAAACCAAGCCATGATTAATTACACTGCATTTGACTTTGTTTCTTGAAAAGTCAATGGTAGAAGTCCATAATTTTACCATGAAAGGTCACATCCATTTGGGAGGGATATATAATGCACTGTAAGCAGTATTCACTGTAGTCACAAGTGGAAAAGTGTGCATGGTACAAAGAACCTAAAATAAAAACACCGCTTTGCTTTCTTATCTGCATAAAGGCATAAATATTGCTTATTACCCCTGTCCTCTCAAAACTCATTAATGTTGAAGAATAAGGCTTATTCTTATCTGGGTTGTTCTTCATCCCCCTTGTGTAATGAATCCCAATCAGTGCTTTGCAATGCTATTCTCCTCAGCAGCCTATAAAAAACTTTAGGCACACAAGAAAAGTAGGATTCAAGTATTCCAATACATTTATTTTGTCTGTCTTTCAGATTAGAGGATCATAAAGAACTCAACTTCTGTTTAACCCTGACTTTAGAAAGATGAAAATTTTTCTCCCTCTGTTTACTAGTCTCTAGTAAACTCATTCGTCTTCATGATAGTATTGGCTTGCAGTAAGAACTTGCAACTTGTGTCAGTATTTTGCATCTCTGTTCTATAAATAATAATATTTAATCTACAAAAAATAATTTCATATTACAAAAGATAGTATCTAAGATCCTAATGGAATTTATAGAAAACAATTTATTAAATAAGAGATAAGAGATAAAGATATTATTTTTGGCCATCTGCTATAGGCTATAAATAAATAAGAAAGGAGGAAATAAATCAAAAATACAAGAATATTAAAAAACCCATGCTGAATTATTTCTAACCACCATGCAAGCCATTTTCATCTGCATATCAATTGCAAAGGAGGGAAGTCATCATATCAAAAATGAGCACAAAGTTCTGAAGCTAGAACTCATCAACTCAAACCTCAATGATTTCTTTGACAGGCAAAATTTCTAAACATCACTTTCTATTCCATTGTCTTTCTTGAGATAGCTACCTTTTTTTTTTTTTTTTTTTTTTTTTTCCCATCTTGATTGCTACCAATGTTCCACTAAGGTGTAACTTGCTTGCAGCAAATAATTCCCAACAATGTAAAAGCCTCACTTTTAATCTCTAGTGGAAAAAATATCAGATGTAGCAGTCTGTGATAAGGCTCTTCCTATGCCTTCTGTGTGCAGCACTGACCAGACTGCTTTTATGCTGCATTAGAGGCATTTATAAGTGAAAAAAGATAATGTTTCCACATATTTCTGAAGAACCATTTTTCGTATAAATGGAATATCACAGAACAGTTCCCATTTCATAAAGCAGTTCATGTTGTTCCATTTTAGATCCTCTATTCGATTACATTATATGATAGTTCACCTCTAAAATGTTGTTTAAATATATGCGTTCGCAACAATCAGCAATCAACTAGAAAAAAACCAAATCTGCTTATAATTGGTTTTTAAGCTTTGTTTACTTACCTGCAATGAACAGAAATTGGTCCATCCTGACCAAATTGCTCTTTTGTTTTATGCACTTGGCCTATGAAGTCAATAAATCCTTCTCCAGACTTTGGCACTCCTTGTTCTGGCCAGTCAGTGAACTGGAACTGCCTCACTGTTCGGGACTGACCATCCTTTAACAAAACACACAAAAATAAAGCATGTTGCTGTGGCTTAAAGTTGGTCAGTGAATAATCATAATGACAATCACAAAGTAAGGATACTGAGAGGAGCTGGGGAATGGCTAAGATTACATTTATGGAAACTCTTTCAATGGCAGTACTACTACTGAAGCTTTTGTATCAGCCCAGAAGTATTATTATGATATTCATTAACAATATTGCATGGATTCTCTTCCACACTGCATAGGAGAGTTGTTTGGCATTCTAATGGTGTAAAAAGTGTGCCTGAGGCCAAAGCCATAACAGCCCCTCCAGGGTATGACTTTTTTGGTATATTATGTTTTGAATCCTGTGGACTACAAATTCCTTTATATACAGATCAGGTGGAATAAGGTCATCTAATCTGACTTTCCATTTCTGAGATATGCTCAACTACTTCACAGCAGGAATATCTTCACTGATAAGACTTGTTTAGTTATTGCCCTCCTTGCAGATGTTATCTTTAATAGTAAGCTGCTTTCTATGAGGTGAACACATTGCCTGGAAGAAGATGGATAAACAAGCTAGTTGTTTAACAAATTTCCCTTCAATAATGGTTCATTTAATTCACTAACAGCTTGGAGTTAGTTAAAATTGAGAGGAAGGGCTTCCTTTCTAAAAACAAGCCATCTGAAGCTCTTCAATCCCCATGGTTAGGAATACTAACTGTATTTCTTAAAAGTGTAGAATACAGCATCATAGTTATTTTTATAATGAAGCCACTGGAATTACTAAATGCCAGCTTGTGCTATCAGTCTATTTAATGTGTTAAAACACAGGACACAGAAAAATGCAATACAAATGAATAAAGCAAATTTGTTCTGCATTTTAAAACATTGAGGATTTTGACATTGTCAATCTGCATGACTGTAATGTTCTAAATCAAGGCAATATGAGATACTGATGTTAACTGATGCCCCTAGACATCATGTTTTCTAAGCCTCTATCCTGTCATGTCTTCAAATGGTCTTCTATTAAGTGAAACTCATGAAAAATTGAACTTTCTTCTAAGTAAAACTCATGAAAAATTAACACTATTACTGGAGATTCCCATCAAAAGCAGCAAGGTATGCTGGAGGCAAGAACAATCTTTCTTTTTCCTTAGCCCACAAGCATTCAGCTGTTACAGACCTTTGAAATTATATAGAAGTGATTTTAAATATAACCAAAGGAAACCCCAATAATTTGCTTTTATGTTTCCTCTGGTTCTGTGGAATTTTGCCTCCTGTGTCTCAGATGAGTGAGGAAAACAGAAAAAATGTGTGTGACTACCAGCAACTACTCCATGTGAGGACACCCTTACTGTGCACTTCCACTAGATCCCTGTGACAATTTAGCAGCCTGTACCTAAGAAATATTTTTCTCCACTTAAACAAACATGTAATGTTTGAAAATATTCATCCAATTGGATTTCTTGTGGGCATCAACACAAAGAACTAAATGTTTACTTCCAAAAATGGGATTTTGTTAATACAAACATCTCTGATAATGGCTTCCATAATCCCATTTTCTCCAAAAAAGACATAATGAAATTGCATCCTCCAGATAGCCTTAGGCAGATGATACAAATTTATGAAGAAGACACAAGTACAGGTTGATTCCCTTCAAAATAACTATTCTATTCCATTCCCTTGCATTCTTTAAAGTAAAGAAAGGAAACTTGAAATCTAACTTACTTGCAACATGCTGTTAAGGAGATGGAAACTATTCAGCATTTTATGACCCTGATAGGACTTACACTAAATAACAGTAACTTTTTTCAGATAGAATAAGTAAGGAAGACACTAATTTATTTAAGTCCAGTATGTCACTGGAAAGTTAACACATTTCTCTGTCATAAATAGATCTAATGGTAAATATTTCTTTTTTGCTGTGTATATATTAACTGTATTAGTATGTTTCATGATTTAAGTAACTCAGTATTCCAATGCAAGTCTGTGGAATGAAAATAAACCTCTGTTATTTAATGTTATTTAATGAGCAGAGAAGTAAAGTTACTTAGTCTGTGTTAGACTAGCATTAAAGCATATGGGGAACTGATCTGCAATTTCTTACAGCTCCCTCTGCTACTGACATTATAAAGAGTGTTGATTTCTTTTAATGAGATTCTTGCCAACAGCAGTCCAGATACAAATGCCAAATTTTATTAAAATCTTTACTTTTAAATACTGTGAAAAGTTTGCACAGTTGTCAAAATAAGTACTTTCAAATCCCTGTGTGGCACAGTGGGCTTTTAATGTTTTATCCTATTTAGTGACCGTTTGAATTTATTCTTCCTCCTCACAGGGGATATTCAATTGTCTTTTGATTACACTTTAGAATTGATAATACTCTCTTACAGCCATCACCAATAGTTTAGCCTTCAATAAGACTGGCCCAACATATTGACCTCTTGAGTTTCCAGAGAGAGTGAGTACAAAGCAGTTAGAAGCAATAACTTGAAACAGTTACAGAGGTAAATTTCACCATACAACAACTCACAGTTCAGTTTCAGAAATAAAAGAGAGTTCCACACCAGATACTTTGTGCTGGCACCTACACAGGTACAGTGCCTCATTTTTTGTTCCTGTGGAGTAACTGGTCATCTTGGCTCTGCCAGAGCATGGATGGTATTGTAGCAGTACAGATGGATTTGGAAATGAGAGGGAGAGAGGATGTTTGCAATCACTCCAGCTTTTGCTCTTGTTTGAGTGCAACAATTTAGTCAAAAGATTTCAATTACTGCAATGTGACACAAAAGCCTAACTAGAGGAAAACTATAATGTACATTTTGGTAAGTATTTCCCCCTTCTTCCAGTAAATTTGGAAGGAGCTATAGTTTTCCAGCATAACTAGAAAATTTAGGATGGTGCTGTCAGCTCACTGAGGAGTTTAACAAATTTTGGACCATCAAGATAAAGAGATTCTGAAAATTTGAGAAGCAATAACATGTGATAGTAAAATGATATATCGGGACCTTCAATGTGCCTAATGCTTTCTAAAAGAGGCATATTAATATCATGTCAAATAAATTCAGTTCTGGTAAATTTAATTATTTAATCATTTGACCTGGTTTGATAGCTGTAGGTAAGCAGACTTGCCTAAATATTTTACTTCAATACAAAGTCTTGAAAGAACTTTTTTTAAAATATAAAATATTTGGGGACATTTCAATTACAGCTATTGCTTTTTGTTATAACTATAGTTTTGTGATCAGAGCTTTGTGAACTATGTCATATAATAACTCTTCCAACTTGAGACAGACTTTTAACAGAAAATCAATTAAAACTATCAGGGTATTTGCAGTGAAATTAGATTTGACTATCTCTGCTTGCAAGTGTGTTTAAAGACTGATGCTAGGAGCCAGTTCTCCACTTCTCTTAAGCACAAATAGGCTAGAGAAGATATGAGTCATATGATTCTTACTACATTTCAAACAGAATGAAAATCAGATCCAATGTATCTGTAGATATATTGGATCTGATTTTCATTCTATTTGAAATGTAGTAAGAATTTACAAAAATCTACACCTGAATCTCATTTGCCAAACAAAAGGTTCATATGCTGACTTGATACAATACTAACAATATTATCCAATTTTATTTGAGGTTCACATTAAAAGCAGTGGTCTAGCTAAACATGAGGAAGTCTAATATTTCAGATGCTGACGGGCAACTCTGAGTAGCCACTCATGTTATTCCTGGCCATTACATCCTACTATTTTGTTTGAACAAGTATTATTCCACAGTGCCTCCGGAAACAGAGGCTGACAATATGTTTTCCTGCCACACAGACCAAAGTGTTAGAAATCAAGTCTGAGAAATGCCAAATATATATTAAAAGTTTATGTATGTTTAATCTTATATGAATACTCAGTTTTGGACTCAGCAATTCAGATAAGAAATGAAGTATTAAAATGAGGATGCTAAGGTCACAGCTGCATGTATCTACTCTGCAGATATAATAGAGAGCTGAAAATATACTACATGAAAAATCAAATCATAATGTGCAAAGCTTGTCCAGCTTTTCATATTAATGTCATTTGCTTTGCAGTTTTAAAATCTCAGTATATTAACCTTCATGCTCACTCAGCCTCAAGGGTGGTGCAAAACAACAAAACAACACTCTATGTTGCAAAAATTGTACCCAATAATGATCAAGGGGAAAATGAGGAAAAAGAGAAAAATAGTCCTCAAATAATCTAATGTATTTTGGCACAAGTCATTCAGAACTATAAAATTGTGCTGCCCAGATGCTAGATCTGAACGAAGTCAATCATTCCTTCAGAAAGATCCCATTTATTTAAAAATAACTTCATCTGATTTTTATTATTGCTTGTAGAAAGTATATCTCTAGGGTTTTCTTAATAATAATAATAAAAAAAAACCCCAAACACAGAAAAAAGAAAGAAATAAACATTTTCTTTTAAACTTATGGGAACAAATGTAATGCTATGTTGACTTACCCTTGCATCTGTAACCTTGAATTCCCTCAGAATATACTGTGGCATGTTGTACTCTGCCATTGGATCTACCACAAAATACTGATATCTGGCTGAGCGCTCCGCAGGCCAGTACTGATGGCATTTTTCCTATGAAATAACAAAGTAAAATACATTTCCTATTACTTGAGAGCGCTACCATAAACTGCTGTAAACCCTTTTTTACTCAGCTAAGTATAATATTAATGGAAAATGTCAATAGTGACAGAACATGAGCTGCTTGTGTTGGTGTAGAGTAAAAAATTATCTTTAATACTGCATTGCAAAGGGTTTCTCATTGGTTGCCATATATCTGAACTTGTTTATACTTCTGCTCATTTTTATTGTCTATCAGTGACAAGAGCTATCCTTAATCTAATTTTCAATGGTTAATTTTTATCTCTATTTAAATCTCGATACCACCTTCAGTTTTCTTCCTTTTTGCTTGCTGGAGAAAGTCCCCCCAGCCTCAGTCACTACTCTATCTCTGCATCCACTAGATGCATCCTAAATAATGACTTTTCTCAGACACATGGCCTAACTCAGATTTCACTTATCAGATGCCAGATTTCTCTTGATGTAATTCTGTCCAGATAGCAGACTGCTTTATTCCTTCCAGTAGACAGAGTACCGATGAAATGAACTGTAAACTGGGGGATGAAACTTTAATGTGCAGCACAGAACACACAGAAGTTCAGATCTAAAAAATACCACACTTTCTTTCAACATTTTTACAAGGAGATGCTGCAAAAGCAGTTTCCAATTAAGAGATCCTTCTTGTTCAATAGACAGCAATGGTCTCTCTTGCTGCATCTCAGTGTGTCCCACAAAAAACAGGCCATGTCTAGTTTGTCCATTGCAACACATCAACAGATTGGAAAAATTTACACCTATGACCAGGAAGGCCACTCCTATTTCAAAAGGAGAAGGAACCAAAATTCTCATCTTTAGATATTCCTAAGAATGAAATATTTTAATGAAAGAGCTGCTGTAACCAATATTTTAGTAAAGGAATATTAGAGCAGTACTTACTCTGCCCATTTCTCGTAGCTTAGTGAGCATGACCACAATTGTAGAGTTATGCTCCCAGAGCATTCTCCAGAAGTCTTCAGTTGTTTCTGCTAAAGGACCCTGTGTAGCTATGTAAGCTTTTTGCTGTCTATGTTAAAAAAAAAAAAAGATTAAGAGTATTATTTTGGATTTATACTCATGTTCTTTGCTTATATGAAAACATTATGTGGAGGGAAAATGTATATACTGTTAATAATGAGCACATTAAAACTTTATTATGATTGTTTAATCAAACTATGGCTTTTTATTTTTAGAACTTTGAGAGGAAAATTACTCTGTTAATATTATGATGTATGACTTTATCATTATTATTTAAATTTTAATGCAACTCTAATTGCTCAATTTTGTGTGCTGTAAAAAGCACTTAAGAAACACTTAGTTGTGCTGGTTCATTTTATAGAAATAACTGTCTAACAATCTATTAAGTTTAGGAATTATAGCATCAAGCAATTTCTTTATTAACTTCATTTCAACAGTCTGATGCCACTAGCAAAAGTAAGGCAAGAATGAAAATTTGGGAATGGAGTGTGAATTTCTAGGCCCTAATATTCTGTTAAGGGAAGCTACCACCAAAATGTCAAAAGATTGCATCAACAGCTTCATAAGATGATGACCAGTTTGTGTTGCTATTGCCTCTTTCAAGCAACAGCAATACCTTTGTGAGAGTGGAGATTAAGTTTATTTTCAATTATGAGCTGAGCTCAGAAAGTTCACTTTGTGGATATGGATACTCAGGCAAACATAAATAATACCTAAACTATGGCAAACATAGGCAAACGATGCCATTTCCCTTTCATGTCATTTTCAACCAGCTGCTTTAAGTCAGCTGAGGGCGTATTGTTCCATGTTGTCATGAAAATACAAGTTGGCTGCACATCTGTTTATATACAAAAGGCCTTTGTTGGTTAGGTCAAGTCTGAGGCACTGTTCCAAGACCATAGGTTATCACCTTGACACACAGAGTGTATCTCCTGTATCTTGTTTCTATATATCTTTTTAAGCAGAAAAACTGTGAAGAAATAGGGGTCCAAATCATGAGCATGCTTGAAGTCTCATTAACTTTCAGCATATAAAGCATACTGAGAGCTCTCAGTGGCTTAAGCACAGGTAAAAATATAATATTTAAGATTCTATGTAATTAAAAAAAAATTTGTATATTACATGGGGAAAAAATATAAACCCTTTACTAAAATTTAAAAAAACACCCAATCAAACAAGCCCGGAACAGACAAAAAAATTACTAGATTTCAATACTAAGTTTTGTTACTTTCAATGTAATTACATAAACAATTTTGTAAACTTTAAAAACAGTAAAGATAAGTGTTATTGTACCTGTATCCATCAATGAAACTGGCATTAATATAATCAGAGCCTTCTACTCCTCGGATAGGCTGCAAGCATACCCTTGTGGATTCATATGGCATAATATTGACAAGGCGATTTTTGAATTTATTACATGGAAGATTGGCACTGATAAATCTTGAAGTGTGAGCCTTAGAGCTAGCAAGACGCTGTTAAAAACAAATAAAAGAATTAAGGCCAGGCATAACAAAGACAAGTGACGCTATCAGGTTTTATAATTTCTGCTCAGTAGCCATTAATGAATAATTTCAACTTCAGATGCTTACTTTTCCATATTCTATTGCATTACCCAAATATTTGTAAAACTTCTTTAATACCTTTTAAAAGTACAATGTCTGCTCCATCAGTGCATTTGGACAAATTCCAATATTGAACCATTATACAAACACATATTTCAAGATATAATAACAATAAAGGAACAGCATGGTTAAATCACCCTCAACTGAATGGTTCTTGTCCAGACACTCATTGAGAACTGAATTGTATTTTTTAGAAAGAATCATCTTTCTTATTTAAAATTTTAGTCTAATGGTGTCTTTTGCCTTTTGATTACTGGAGTGGTGGAGAACAGAGCAGCTTCAGTGTTACATCATTTGGTTTTGATTACCCAAAACATAAAATCCCAGTACCTTAAATTCCAGTTCCATTCCTGTGACATTCTCTCCTGTTTCTATCTGTGTCAGCTTCTGGATATATGCATACAGGTTTCTGGCTGGCACTTCGGTATTTCCACATGTCACTGCTTCCAGCAGTGCATCATGGATAAAGATGTATTGGTCCTCAGTTTGAACCATGTAATTCCTCTGTGCTCTCATTAGAGTTACGTGGCCATAAATATCTACAGTCTTTTCATGCTTTATTCTCTCTAACATGGCATCTATCACAATGAAACAGCCAGTCCTGCCGACTCCAGCACTAAAAGAAATGAACACGGGAGAGAAAACATGGACTGTTTCATTCACTGTGCTTACTTTTACATCATTCAAGATTTAAAGTTTTTTAATGCTGATTTAAACAGCACATTTCTGAATATGAACATCAGCTTTTACAAAAGAGATTGGTGCCCTGAAGTATGTAAACTCCTTAAATATCCGTTAAAAGCAATTGAGAACACATAATGCTTTTATATGAGATCTTTGCAACTTGCAGTTTCAGGTTTGACTATAACAGAAATAAAACACCTTGCAACATGTTCTCAATATGTATGTTCTTAAAAATGGAAATTACTGGAGATGATAAATACTATAAGAATTCCAGCTTTATTTGTAGCATGATTTCTAAGTCATTAAACGTGCTTTTGTTGCTATTTTCTTTACAGAGGTAAATTTATTGGAAAACAATAATCTAACAGAAAATGAGTCTTATATATTTCTATTATACTTTGCTGGTAAGCTTTCCACCCATCTCCTTACCCTGGTGATGGGGCTTCTGTTAACACAGTTTGTTCTGTCCTCTGCAGTTTCACTTGGCTAGGACATGCTGTTAGTCTTTGCAATGCAGACGCATGAGTAGATAGCTATGCTAGCTGTAGGCTGGGGAAAATCCAACTGTTTGGATGACAACTGTAGCGAACCAAATCAGACCACCTTTTTGTGTGATTGACCTTAAAGAAGTTTTGTTCCAACTACTTGCATATATGTAGCTAAACTAAGCTAAAGTGTAAAATGTGATGGGATTTGTACATTGCTTTTCTCTCAAGGATCACATCATGCCTGCAACAATGAATTATGACCTCAGGCTTTCTAAACGCCTAACTTTTTTTAGTGACTGAAAATGAAATACATCGTATAGTAAGCAACAGTTTATAAACCCTCAAGACACTGAGATTAGCTAAATTAAGAATATTTAAGAACACTAAGAACTGCAATATTCTGAGTATAAATAGAAAGAAACAAAACCAAGCTTCTAGAGGAGAACTATATAAAAGCCAAAACTTCTCACAGTTTCTATATTTTCCAGAAATATTAAATATTGTAAGTCTATCCTGAAATTGATAGGCAAGGTCAAAGATTTATTTCTTGTGTTTATTTATTCTTTCTTATTTCTAAAGAATCTTTGCCAATTACCAGCAAAACTGAATTTCCTTATAACCAAATCAGAAGGAAGTACAAAACAGAAAGGTATTTTATCTAACATAAGGCAAGTCTTCTTTTTAAGACAGCAGAATTGCATGTGCTCATGCCAAGGAGTTCTCCTCTAAGCAGCAGACCCCCTTCAAACAGCTAAGGACTTCTGCTAATAGACCAAACCCATCAATCTCAACTTTCCTAGATGCCACTCTGACAAGAATTAACCCTGAGTTAAAGAAAATTTACCTATTAGTGTTATTCATCAGTGGGATGATCAGTCGAGAAGGAAAAATAAAAAGAAACAAAATTATAGTTATCCTAACTAAACAGTAGTTCATCTCCTTGTATAATAAAAGCTCTGCATTTCAGGAAAACCTGTTGACATTAACATTGCTAAAAATCATGGAGAAAAACCTTAAAAAGCTGTCTCACTATTGTGATTTTCTTAGGGTTTTTTTGTTCTTGTAATGGAAATCAACAGAAGTAGCACATGTTTGTATGTCAGATTGGTTTGTATCATATTTTAAACCATTACTTCAGTAATTACTGCTCACATTCAGTTTTTATCAGTTTAGTAAGTGTGGGCCAAGTGAGAAATATGAAAATTTGGCAGTGCAGATTTTTTCCAGTAATCTAGAATATGGTTCTTTTTTCTATGATGTATTAAATTGCTGTTCCAACATCATGTTTATAACTGGATATGCCATTTTTCAGATTGAACATCAAAAAGGCCACTGGTACCTGCAGACCACAGCTGCAAAATCCCAAACCAGTTAAAAACTTGCACCTTCAGCTGGACTGAGCAATTTTCAGTTCTTCTTTTCATGTATTTTGTTATCATTTATATATTTCTTTTTTCCATGAGCAAGATCAAAGAGTAATATCTATTAGCATACTCTAGCACAGAAGATATTTGCTAATCTACAGAATTATGCAGAAGTTGTGAAGATCATGAAAGCAGATCTAAACACATTATTATGCACTCATTTAATAGTAAGGATGAAGGGGCTGACACACTACATTTATGGAGGCATTTGGGCTCCTACACACATCTCTCTGGACCATTTTATCCAGTGAGATATTTTACTCCTTTAAGGTGTTCACTACATTCTAGTTCTGCCCATTAAACTGCTGTCTAATGGGCTACCAAACTACTCTTTTGACTTTCCACATAAAAATGGAACCAGTGCTATGAAGATTTTAACTTAACTCTTCTTTGAAATGTGCCCTTCCTACCCCCAATACCTTCTAACTCCAAACTACAATAGGTTATTATACAAAAGAAACTATCCTATCCTAATTTTTTATCCCACTTCTCTTTCTCTTCTTCTATTACACAGCCTTCTTAATATGGTATGATACACTGCTGGGAAGCCATAAAGTTTGAATCCTCACTAATAAACCACTGAAATATAAAAAAAAAAAAAAAAATCCCTGTCTTTCATCTACTAACCATGATAATTCAGCTAATAAGAATAATTTCACAAATAATTTCTACTTTTGTTATTGACTTTCTTGCCATTTTGGTTTGCATCCTCTGATATTGCTGTCAAAATTAGAATTTTCATTTCAGTTAGTGAAAGAACTATTACATTTTCAATCTGAAAACCTAGATATCTATTAAACAGACATGCCTATTACGAAACTGTTACTGCTTCAAATATTGTCATTTACAGTATTATAACATTTGCTTTCAATTTCTAAAATCATAACTGACTCAGTCCTGTGAGCTGAAACATGCTTAATGTCCCTGTGATGTAATACAGCTACAATAGCTACAATTCAAAAAAGGAGACTGAAGAGGCATAAGGGGGACATTCTGAATTCAAATCGCTGTATAGATGTGTTAAAGGTTGGCTTTTGTGATTAATTTGTAGCTGTTTAAATGATGACCCTTTACTGATACTTCAGTGATTTGGCAAAGGAAGGCAATGTAATTACCAGTATTCACAGATCATTTAATTGGAAGCAAAGACAGTAAAATATGGACCAAAAATCATGTAGGACATCTTTGACTCATATCAGGGGAAAATTTTATTGAACATTACTGTTTCAGATTGAATGAAGCTTGCATTTATAAACTGAAAGTACATGAAATTGCTTGTGATATGGGAAATATATAAAAAGATCTGTATTTTATTGAGGAACTTCTAATGATTGATTAGATTCCAATCCTACAGAAATTCTCTAGTAGTTCTGACAAGAGCAATATTTAGATTATTTTCCCATTTTGTGGTTAGCAAATTAGAACAGAGCAGAAAATCACCCCCATGGCCAGGAAGCAGAAAAAAAGGGCCCTTATAAAACCACTGAACATCCTTTTGAAAAGAAACATCTGATCAAAATAACATAAAGACCTTGTGCAAAGACATAAATTGAAATTTTGTTTTTGAAGAGATGCTGGATTGCTTCAAGATTACATAGCAGCTCATAAGAGACCTTTGAGAATTTATCGGCAAGTGTACAGTGACTTTCTTTCCTTCTCACTGTGGTTAGGGTTGGGTACAGACAAGAAGAATGGTATTCAGCACTTTCTTAGGAGCAATGCTTTACCAAAGACTTCACTGACTGAATTTTCTTCAGTTTTCTTCCCTAGGCTATGGAGGCAACCATGTTTATCACTGTAAGTCACATAAAATGTCCGAAAAAGAACACGGAATAAAAGAAATTGGAAAACAGGAGAATATTTCACTACAAGCAGATAAGGTTCAGTCTAGAACTCTCCCTGGTTTTCATAGGTAGTACACAAATGTATGGGATAGTCACAACCCAAAAACCAGCCATATTTCTTTCTTCCTTTATGGTGTTTTAATAACACTTTTCAGTCTGTACATTCTCAGAATTCTAGTATTACCATAAATTCTTCAAATATAACTGCCCCAGATTTAAGCCCACATTTTTTTGTAATATGCACCTGCAAAAGTATAATAATGTTCAGGAAGTAAATTTGTTCTTCCTCTAATCCCAAGTACAGCTCTGGAGAGATCAAGGATGAGAAGCTGTTTTATGAGATTGTAACTTGACCACAAACAAACCCTCAAATATCAAAACACAGAGAATCAAAACTCCTAAAAATTTCTCTAACAAATCCCATGTACAAGAAGTAATTGTTTATTAAAATAATTTAAAAAGATGAATTTTCCATGCAGGCTAAAAATGTAGCATTCATAATGTTCAACAAAACAAAAAATTTAAGAAACCCTTCTGAAAATGACATTCCATTAGAGCACTTCAATTCCTCTCACCAGTCATAAATTAATGTTACATAGAGAAGATGAAACAAAAATTATTTGTTCTTTTCTTGCCAAAGAAGAATTAGGATCATGAAATGAAATGAAATGGCGAGACTTTCAAACAAACAGGAAGTAATTTTTAAAGTAGTACATAATTAAATTGTGAAACACATTGTTACAGAATATCATGCACGACAAAAGAAATTCAGAGGGAAGGATCAATTAAGGGTCATTAACCAACATGTTACAGACACAATTTCCCCTAAAGAAATCCTGGTATTAGGTTTCAGTGGAATTTGGATAGGGACTCTGAAAAATAACATTCTAGACATGTCCTGGGAGAGAAACTGAAATGCACTGTCTAAATTTGGTGTTGTGATCCTATATAGTTATAAAAGGCATAAGCATTCCATTTCCCAGCTGTAAAGCAGATAATCTTAGAACTCTTCTTTTGAATCAACATTTCAGCCTCCAGGTACTTGACACCTTTAGTAACTATACCATTGAAAAGGCATACCATCAATTGCAATACTTGCTTCTTCTTTCTTGAAAAGGACAAATTATCATAACTATTCTACCTGCTTCTTTCCTGAAATCATGAATTGTTGGTGAA